AAAAAAAAAAAAAAAAAAAAAAAACTAAATTACAGTATCATACTTTCTCCTGCTGCTTTGACAGCAAAACTAAATATCTGCTGTGAAACTTGTTTCATGGCTTTACTACCAGGAGAGCCAGCAAGTGCAACCTCCTTCAAGGTTGGATAGATGGCCTCAAACCTTTCAGTGGCCTGCAAATAGTACAATGTCAAAAAAAAAAAAAAAAAAAAAATTGCATATTCTTTTCAGCATATTAGATAACAGCAACAGTTCCCGTGACTATACGGACCTTCACTCTAGTTGATGATGCAGGGAAAGTAACACGTAGAAGTGTTTCAAATGAAGAAGGCGGAATCAATCTCTCCCCCTTCCTGACTGCACCATTTACTAGAATAGTACGAGCTTTTGGAGAGGACAAAATTCTGCAGTAAAATGATCTTTCATGTTCAGGAAAGCAAAACTGGAAGGGGAGGGAGAGTGGAGGATGAAATATAATAGTTAAAGGGAAGATAGATGTATTGTGTGATTGTCCATGTATTCCCCCACCTTTCCACTAGCTGCAAAATTAAATCTCTAGACTGGGGATTACAACCTCTACCACTAACTATGGGCAAAAGGTTATGTGCCCATGCATAAAGCCCTATTGCAAGATCTGCTTGACAAGCCTGGCATGGGAATAAGGAAATCCAGTAATAAGAAGCATAAAAAAAGAAATTAAACACCAATGAATTATAAAAGACATTAATATCAATTCACCTGAACTATCATCCAGACAAGTACTGGAAGCTTGTCCTGTCCTTGATACTTTGAGTTTTCCCTTATTGTTGGCAACACGTGAATGAAAATCTCAGGTTTTCTTCGTAATACCATTGCTAGGACTACGAATATGGCAACCTGCTATGCAATAATATATTAATTCTTGAATCAAGAAAATATGTGAACTCACCCTCCCCCTCCCACCACCCATACAGAGAGAGAGAGAGAGAGAGAAGTTAAGTAAAAAAAGCAAATAGAAACTCATAAGCATCTGTGCAGCTTATTGTTAGTAAAAATTAGAAAGCCAATGATGTACAAATTTATGAAGGTTAAACATGTACTCCAGAATAATAAACGTGAAAGGACAAGTCATAGAAAATGAGTAAGATAAAATGAGGAAACGTCAACAAAAAACAAATATATATCAAGAACGTCAGAGAAGGATAATAGAGATGCATATCATGATCATCACTCTTATTCAAACAAAAAGTGGATTGCTTGCTTATTGTAAAGCTATCCTATTTACCAGTTGAGTTCATTATTATTATTACTATTATTAGGTATTATAGTAACAATCTATGTGGGATTCCATTCCTTGCCAAAGATGGCATTAACACTCTAATTTCATCAAAGAAACAGATTTCCTACGCTTTTCAGCCTCTGTTAGATCATCCTTGAAGTCCCTGCAGTTCGTTTAGCTTTACAAACTTCCAGAAACAAACAAGGTTGAAAACTAGTTAATAAGTATCGAGTTAATCAAGGTTGCTTTATAATATTACTTTTTAAGCTTATCTTTACATCTTCTGAATCTTTTTTTTTTTTTCTCCTTTCTTTCTGTTTTGCAGCGTTTTGAAACAGCATCATATGCTCAAAAAAGAATAACGGTACCTCCCTAAATTTACTTCACTTTTCTCAATACAAAACAACAAATTCTATTCGTTCTTGATATTTCGCATTTTTCACCATTTATTAGATCCAGCACCTAATCTTAACTAATGGAACCCTCAAAGGTTGTCAACGTCAGACCTTTTGAAAAAAGGAGAAATTGGGGGTTAGGTTCAACTTGAACCTCACAGTATCAGTGTTACACATGGACTGTGCCACCCAATATGAACAAACCAATGTATCATTATCCCTCCCAGTGCACATAAACTTCGAACAAACAAAGAGTGATGCTACCACTGATACCTGAGATTTTGACGAAGCATGTTGTGCTCCCTTTTTAGAGCCTTTGGCACTAGCTTGTTGAGCCGCAAAGTCAGCAAGGATGCTATCTAAAGACCATAAAACGAAAGAGTTGAGTGCCTCAAGAGAACGTTTATTAAGCCAATCAACTGACGCCTTATAGACATCCTCAGAAATATGCGAGAGGGGGGTCTGCAAAAGAGTAGATGCAACAATTAAGTTGTAAAGTGTACCATTTACTAACAAAAAAAAAAAAAAAAAAAAAAAAAAAAAAAAAAAAATTTCCTCTCGCATCCCTTTCCTAAAAAGGCAGCATAAAATATCCCGAACCTAACAAATCCATTTTTAAAAAGAATTAAATTACATAATATATGAATTTTTATATTTGGATGTGCTTCATTTTGTCCTTTTATTTGTTTGGTATGGTTCATACATTGTATTCATTATATTATGTAATTTTATTGCTTTAATAACTATTTTAATTTATGTTTATAAATATTACTTCTTCCTTATTTTAAATCTAAACTTACTTTTACTTTTGAAATTTAATTAAGAATTTCAGAAAAAAAAAACTATATACGTGTGTGATAATATAATATACTATAATATTAGTGTGGGTGAAAAAATCTTAAAATTTAAAAAGATATTATTCGGATGATAATAAATAACATATCTAAGATATAAATACATTATTTTTATTTATTTATATAAAAAGCATGTATTAATAACTCTAATTAATTAAAGATCATAATTTAATGTCCCTATGNAAAAAAAAAAAAAAAAAAAAAAAAAAAAAAAAAAAAAAAAAAAAAAAAAAAAAAAAAAAAAAAAAACTCCATCCATTTTAAGTCAGAGCTCATGAAGATAATGAATGTAAGTAAGCTCACACAATTGGAAAAACCGATAACTAGGCAGCAAATTATAAAAACTAGATTTTATTTTGCTTAAACCTATAATGCACCAAATATCTTCTAAAACTCATTATACTGCTCAAGAAAATCTGACAACTTCGATTGCTAATTTAGAAGAATACACTCACGTCACCCAAAATCAACGGCAAACAAAGAGAAGGTTCAAAGTTCTTGTTCACCCCCAAAACTGACCCTCTGATCCAACCAAATCCATGAACAGTTTAAAACACAGAATGTACATCTACATAATACAAAAACATTTTGCCGAAAGATGATTCTGCACCAGCACAAGGGATCTAAAGTATTAAGCAGAAGCAAACAGAAATGTTGATACGCAGATCTAAGAATTCACCCACTGAAGGCGAATTTCAGAGGAATATAACAAATCAAAGATCAGAAAACTCACATCAACAATCTTAGCTACTGGAGACTCCCTAAACATTTTCACCCATGGAAATTGAGAAGCGCTCACGTCCGAGAATGCGCGACCAAAATAATCCGCAAACCTCATTAGCTGGATATCCTGCTGAGTCTCGTACGAGCCCTATTACCAAACATTAAGATGGAAGAAGATGAGAAGAGTCAATAGTATTCGATCGACATCAAATTCTTTTCAAAACAAGCAGATCAATTTAGATCATTTAAAACAAAATAATGCATCATCGAGCAGATCATATCGCATTACCGACACATCGGCCAAAAACGCCAACAGATCGTTTACATCAATATTCGCAGCCGCCTCCGCCACCGAAATCTTAGGCTTTTTCGGCTTCTTTTGCTTCACCTTCTTGGCATCCTCGCTAGGCTTTCCGTTCTCCACACCCACTCCATCACTGTCCTCCCCATCCTCATCATCGGACCCGATCTTCGATCTAACCGGAACAGCCTCATCGTCGTAAACAGCAGCCGCCTTCTGCGCCTCAGCAATTCGGCGGCGTCGCTCCTCCGATTTCTGCTCCAGCGAGCGAAAAACGTTGTCCGCGCCGGGGACGGAAACGGTACCATTAGGCACGATTTTGGCGGAACCAGCATCGGCGGAGGGCTTGGCCGTCTTCCTCTGACGTTTGGCGTAGGTAACCTTCTGCCAGCCATGGTCAACATGGGCGTGAGAAATAGGGGCGTCAAGATCTTCATTTACAGGGACGGATTCAAAAGCAACGTGTTTGTCCTCCATGGCTGAGGGGTAGGGGGATTGTATAGTGATAGGGAAATGGAATTCAACAGAAAATCAGAAGAGATTTTAAGTGGGTCCAAAGAAAATTGAGATTGAAATGAAGAAGAAGAAGAACAAGCGAAATGAGGTGAACGAAGAAAAAAAAAAAAGATCGGAGGTCCGTAAGATATAATCGACAAAGTCGACTCAAGGAGGAGAAATTAAACTTATAGGGCGTTGACTTACTAGAAAGGCCCATTTATATCACCGGATTTACAGGAATGCCACAACCCGTAATTTTCGGAATCTCTAAAATTTTAATTTTTCTTTAAAATTTTAATTTAGGTTAAAAACTGTTTTGATTCCTTAATAATTTAGCATTTTATTCATTAGTTAAGATTTAGTATTTTCAAATTATTATTTAACCTTTAATCCATTATTTGATCTTTTCTTTTAGCAAATTTAAAACTTTTAATTAATAAAAAAAAATAAAAAAAATAATAATGTGGGTTGTAGATGATATATTATGTAAAAAGAGGGGTAAGAATTGTGGGCGGGGTATGCAATGCAAATTTGGAGGGTACACAAAATATGGTGTTTAGTTAACGTGTAGGAGCATTTGGGTTTTGGGGGCCAAGTGGTAGTGACCATAGTGGTAAGGGGAGAGGCTGCCTTACCTTTAGCGCCAAACATTCTTCAACCACAAGCAAGCAAAGCATGCTGTGGTGGCGCATTTCCATTTTTTACCCAAAAACAATGACCACACTCCCACTTTGTGTCTAATCATTCGATTTTTGTCTAATCATTCGGTTTTAATATTATAGTGCATTGAATATCGACCGAAACTTCTACCCCGAGCACACGCAATGGAGCCGTAGACAGTCAAGTAAAATCCAATTGACCTACAACCGACCTTGGTGGTGAGGAGGAAGTATTCTAAATCACTATTTCTCAATTGGGAAATAAGTTCGATTGATTAAAAGATCGATTTAAACCTAACAACAATTATTAGATGCCTTTTTTAAAGGTAACGACAATCATCATGTAATGTATTGAAGTGAAAATGCATATTTTAAACAACTCTTCAAATGAAAAAAAAGCTATCCAACGTAAAAATTTCAACACAATCCAAGTATTAAATTAGATGAAACCTTTTTGAGTTCTTTATTATGCACTTTCAACAACCTCACAAAAAGAAACTATGGAAATAAATCCTGATAGGGAGAACAAAAATAGGTTCACACATCAATACAAAACGTAATGCTAATGTAACTACAAATCTTTAGCATCAGAAACATACATACTGCTTACAGTAGTAGTTCATTTCCAGAGATTTCGTTCTTCGCTTTTTCGATCAATTTCGTTTTTTTTTTTTTATCTGGTTCGGTCTCGTATGTGGTTTGCAGTAGTTTCCCCTGATCAATTGATGTGCAAACAAATATTCTTGTAAGAGTCTTTGCATAAATGTGAGACAGATTAGCAGTTGTTCACATTGATGAAAGAAAACAATAGAAGGGAGAGGGAATCAACTTAACTGAGTTGTGAAGAAATTATATACATGCAATGTTCCATTAGGTTGAACCATAAAAAATTGAATGATTGTTTAAGGAAATTACAAGGCACATGAAGAGGCAAAACAATAGCTAACTACAGAATCATCCATGGATCACTCATCTTTAAAGAATCTACTAGTTCATCCCACCTAACTCCTAAGAGGGTAGCTAGCATGAAAACCTTGAAAACAAAGCACCTAATATTTTCTGTTCAGACCTATTACTGCAAAATAAATAAATAAAAATAAGAAGTTCAACAAAAATGAAGGGTGGAGATTCAAGCCTCTAACTATGTTCAGATTGGTAATTACTACAAAGATATTTGTGTTACTAGAAGTTAGGAATCATCCAAGATCTTGTAGGGACTACAATCCATTAGTTGAAACTATCACAAAACCTTCCCAAATAGAAACAAAGGGCACCCCGAGAACATATGATCCTAATCTTCCCTTCCACATAATTCTTAAACAAGAAGCAACACTTGAGGTCAAGATACGTTTGGGGGCATCTTTTATGGATATTCAGCTCAGATCTCTACACAAAGTAGCCGGAAGATAACAAAAAAGCATATTAGGAAAAGTTTCTGCAAATGGGAGGCAAGGCTAAATTGGCTTGAACTCAAACATTTGGCACTAAATTTTTTGGAATTAAAGAAAAAAAGGTCACATTTATGTTAAGAGTTTAAAATGCCTTTATACATAAAGTTGTGGACCAAAAAAAAAAAAAACAAAAAAATCATATTCAGTAATTTCCATTTCTTACTCAAACCAAAATCATTAATGGGATAAGCTCATTGAAGTTCTCCCTTGTTCAAACCAAAATCATTGACGACAATAAGATGGAGCTCATTTAAGTTTCACCAATCTCCATTCCTTACAAACAAAACTCATTTGTCGTTAACATCCCGAAAACTTATCAATAGGATATACAGCCAATCAGTATCCAATGGAAAAAAATTGGACTAAATTATGACCCTTTGGAAATAAAGATGAAGAGGATGCAAATTTGATTTCCCTTCTACTTGCTAAGCAATGACCTGACATCTGCCATCCTCCAAATGAATTTCCAAAACGAAACTCTTTTTCTTTGTAGCGGAGTTATAGTGTGAAAGAAGTAACAGTTTTCCTCACCCTTCTTTCGCCATTTTGGTTGGCACTTTGATCTTCCTAACATATCCTCTTTGAGGATAATCTCAGCAATTTGTTTTCATAAATGTTGTAGAGCTACTTTCATTTTGAGATAAGTTTCTTTCCTCATCTAAGGCATCCAGAGTAGCAATACTGTTAACATTTCCAAAACTCTTCTTTCACATTCTAATTTTTCCCTTTAGATCTTTCAGCTTTAAGATAGAAGAATGGCCCAAATAACCTAATATCTAGTAAACGGTTCCACCATGTTTTGCATACACGAAGGAACTCAGCATGAACCTACTGAACATAATCAAAACGAAAGGGAGTTCACCCATCCAAATTACCAACTTCAAGGAAAATTGGATAATAGTCAGATGTGCTCCTATTCAACCCCACTCATATGAAAATTTAGAAACTCGTACAGAAAAGCATAGGAGAAAGAATTTGACCAAACAAGAAAGACGAGCTTGCTCTCATGTTTGACCATGTAAAAGGCCTCCTTTTCTAGAGGGTCAAAAAGAGATAGAATTCTTCATGCTGGAAGTAAATCTATTACTACTTGAGATTATTCTCTCGATCATCTTACCACATTGAGATTACTCCCAAGACCCAGTTACAATCATGAAAACCTATCAAAACATAAATAAGGGTTGTTCAATAAAATAAAAAAGCCCCGATAGACCCAATGCATTGAAAGTAGTCATTTGCAATGATCTTGGAACTCCATGAAGATTCAACTAATTTTCTATTAACTTCTCTGAATTTTATTTCTTGGACAATAACAAAATTAGGATTAGATTACTATATAAAGTGTCTAACCAAACCACAGTGAGCTCTATCTCTCAAATGTCTACTTGTACTACAGATTTAAATCTTCATTAAACAGTAGTACCTTTAAAGCTCCTTCGGAAAAATGTTTGCTTTGCACCTTACAACTTTCAAGAATCCAAGGTGCTACAGGTATTTACATCTCCTCCTTCAAAGAAATGTGGTCAAAAGTTGAAAAGTCTATTGATTTGACTTCATAAAATCAACCATTTCCCTTTTCTTATTTTGAGGAAACCTCGGACGACCAAGAAACTTTCCTCTCCACCTTTAATTGAGAATATAAGGTTTGCATAGTATATTAAACTCGTTGAACATTACAGAGCATCTATCAACAAATATCCACTGACATGTTTCCATAATAGCCATGTAACTCTCTGAGGAGAAAAGGACAGTGTTGCTGGGACCAGCACCTTTGAAAACTCTATTTTCACTGAAAGAAAGCCACTAAATTTTCCTTTTAACCTTGATTTTATTCACATGATTCAGCCCTCTCACTGTGTAGTTTACCATGCTAATGCAATCATACCATTTAAACCTCCAAAAGAATCCAGCATGGTATTGACGGTTTTCTGTCCAAACCATTTGACCCCACTACATTTGGTTGACAAGCAAACTTGTATGATTTTAAATCTTTGGTGTATGGCTACCTGATGCATGTTGGTTTTGAAGGTTCCAAGTAATTCTAAAATGACAAGTGAAAGAGATTGTTTTTGACCTTATTCCAACCACAATAGCTAGGAACAACATAGGACTTTCGGAAGACAAGCATCCTATAGCTCAAACTTCAAATAAAAAATTTGAACAATCACCAACAAGTATTTTAAAGACAGCTATCTGGTTGATCAAAACCCTGAATTCTAAGCAATGCATTATCTGGATAAAAGGTGAATAATTCAAAACATTAACAAGTAATTGGAGGGCAGAATGAACATAAAATCAATTATTATGAAAGGACCTTCCAATAACTACTATCGTTATGTTCCCTTTTTATCGGGGAGGGGGGATACAAATTTCCCCAAATTAAAAGATACAACAAACGTTTAAATGAAACAAATGCCTAAATGAAGCCTAATGAAGCAAAGAAAATACAAGGCTCTAATCATCAAACGCCAAAAAAATGATCACAATACCATGGGAAGGGCATCTTGAGTTCCCACAAAACAATTCAAGGTAAAACATTACATGTGTCAATGTAGCGCGAAAGCCACCACCCTAAGTACATTAGTTTCAAGACTACCAAAATAATTCATTTTAGTTTTATTACTAAATCTTCTTAGCTGGATGCGCTGTGTCATTACATTAGCAAGAACTAGTCATGGACCTATCATGCCATCAAGAAAGATGCTAAGTATCAAATATTGTTTACAGAACATTAAAGATGTATTCTTGTAATCAACTGCAATGTGCTCTAAATAGAGGCAAAAGAATGTTTAAACAACAATATCACACAAATAGTCATCAGGTATTCAAGTGATTATGATTTCATAAGACAATCCAAAAATTAAAAAGAGAAAAAGAAAATACAAGTTTGGCTTAGTATAAAACAACGAACAAATGTCTCAATCAAACCTTAGGTAGTTGAAGGAGCTGAAACTTTGCCTTTGTCTGAAACAACCTGGTTCTCTTGTGATGGTGGTTGGTAAATTCGTGCTTTCCTCAAAATTTCAGCAACCACCCAACGTTTATGCTTGCTCAACGGCCTAGAAGGGTCTAGTTTAACCTGATATTATAAAATTCAATTTGTTTCATCAGTGGATTAGAAATTATAAACTTTCAAATATTAAAGTACCCTCGGTTCAAGTTCCAGAGAAATAAAAACGCGACAAGATTAATATAAATGAACATTATGCATTTGCAAATTGAACGAACAAACTCTTCAAACACAAAGAACACTCGCGAAAACATGCCAGATTCTTCAATATACGGAGAACATTAGCCATTTCATCCAGTATTACAGTGTAGTCAAGCAAATTACACGATATTGTAACTGAAACTCAAAATCGAGTCGAAAACATGGTTGATTAAATTGGAATGAAAAAGAAAAAATTAATTGGGGAGTAGAAATGGGACTGAATTCTCACCCTGTCACCAATATTGCACTGGTTGTTCTCGTCATGAGCCATGAACTTAGAAGTGCGCTTAACGTAGCGATTATAGAGCTTGTGATAAAACAATCTGTCCACTGCAACGACCACCGATTTCTGCATTTTATTTGAGACCACCATCCCCACTACCTGCTTCATCTTGCCCCTGAGATTGAAACCCCTAAAAAAAAACCCAACAACCCTTTTAAGCTCTAAGCTGCTGCAAACTCGAGGGTTTAGAAACTATCGGGCAGGAACGGCGTGCGGCGGGGCGGCGTACAGTGGGTGGTAGGGTTTAGAAAGGTGAGATACGTTGGTTATGATGTCCGATGACTGGTGCGCGTGCCAAGGCGATGAAAATTATAGAGAAAATTAAATAAAAAATAGAATGTAGATTGTGATAAAAATAAATAAATAAATAAATATATACCTAATTAATTTTTTATAATTATCTAATTAAAAGTTTTAATTTTTTTTTTTTTAAGTTAGACTGTTAGTAAAATGTATTTTTAAAATATTTTTTAATTTTAAAATTTTCATTAACATCTTTTTTTTAAAATGTAAAATTTTTAAATCGGAATAATACTCATAACCTTTATTAAAAATTAAAAAAAATTATCTTTATTTGAAAGGAACTAATGATTCCGGTGTATATACTAATAATAAGAGTTTTTTTTTTTTTTTAATACTTTTGACATTTTTTAAAAACAAAATTAAAAAAATATTAAGAAACTCTAAATCTTCGTCAAGATTTGAAAATCACTCCTTATATTAACAAGGTGCACTTTAATGACTCAATCCTAAGAACTTCATGGTTAAATGTGATTTGCTTTGAGCAATTTTATATTTAGTAATCTCCTAAAAAAATTCTAAGATGCATGTGATTGAAGTGACTTGATCATGTCATTAGAAGAATGCCGGAGCCATCAGATGTCAAATCATGGATATAGGTCGTTATAATTACCCTAGTGAATACGATAAGACAATTGTTCGAGAAGCTTGTTCATGACTATAGTGGAGAAACATATATCATATCCAAATTCTTTGAATGCACAATATTTTCTCGAGACCTAACTACATAAAAAATGATTCTTTTGACATACAAATTTGATGGCGTGTGATACGATAAACAACGACGAATGTTAATTCTAATTTCATATATTATCTCAAATTATGGTTTTCTTTCATAAATTTTTATAACTTATGTAGCTGACATTATCCTGACTTAAATTAAATATACATTAACATATCATTTATTGAGTATGGGGCTGTGTATGGAGGATACCCAATAACTTTCATTGGAATTAAGTACACAATTAATATCGAATATTACGATAGAATGTATGTAAGAAGCCAGAACTAATTCTCATGATCGTTCACTTGTATTTTACGTATATGACCTTTTAGTCGAGAATATAAATTTAATTGAGACGGGTGAGGCGACCAGTTGCAGAGAGATATAAGTGCAAATCCGAGACAAGCAGATGGGTGGAACAGTTGGGCAGCTGAGGTGAGGACTGTGCCTTGCCATTCAATCCATCTCTTGTAGCATTGGTTTTAGCCTTCCTAAGATTACAGCCATTTACTGCTATTATAAATGCATGAGGTTGTTGCAACTTCCATATTTAATTTCCTTCTTCTACCCCCTTTCATTACCTTACCTGTGTAATGAATAATATAATGGTTTTAATAAATTTCGGTTAATTTGTAGAGCTCAGCTCTCTTTAGACACGTCTTGAACCGAGTAAAAAATTCCTGTTTATAGAGATTGTATTCTCTATCCCGTTGCGCACAAAACTAAACCCGGACGAGGATTATATTTTTTTGCTTTCATTTATTCAATTAAATATGTTGAAGATATATATATATATTTTTTTTTTAATTTTAGAAGTTGTTGTTGGATGAAAGTCCAACGTCCTCGGCTCATTTCGAGAATGATCATGGGTTTATAATCAAAGAATACTGTTTTGATTAGCGAGAGACCTTTTGGGAATCCCAAAGCAAACCCATGAAAGGTGAGGCTCAAAGTGAACAATATCATACTATTGTGGAGAGTCGTGTTCATGTAACATGGTATCAGAGCATTTTTTATTTATATAAAAAAAAATTAGTTACATTATTTTTTTTTGGTAGTTGCCTGTAGTGGTGGATGTTTCATTTATAAGAGTTATTATGGATATAAAAGCTTATGGGCGTGACATGAGCTACATTAAAAGTTGGAAGGTCCCCGATATTTCCATTGCTTTCCTTAACCTACACATTAAAAATCCATATTTCCAAGAGTTCGAACCCATATGTGACGATTGGAGAGGGGAACGAGTGCCAACGAGGACACTGGCTTTGAAGGGAAGGTGAATTGTGAGATCCCACGTCGGTTAGAGAGGAGAACAAATTTTTTGTTATAAGTGTATAAAAACCTCTCTGTAGCAGACGCGTTTTTAGAGGAGGAGAGCTCAAAAAGAGGAGTCGGGTCATAAATGATGCGGTAGAATTTAAAGAGAGGGAATGGCATAATTGGTAATTTGGTGAGAATAGAATCCCAAATACAAAAGAAAGAAAGCCTATATTAATAAGGGCCACCCACCACCATTCCAATACCGAAAAAAAAAGGAGGAAGTAGTGAAGTAGTGAAGTATGAGTCTAATCACGGAAGAGGTGAAAGGCAAGGCGGACGAGGTGTACTATGGCGACAAGATCTCACAGGAGAAGACAAGGCTTCTGCTGAAAGAGGTGGGGCTTCCCAATGGGCTTTTGCCATTGAAGGACATAATAGAGTGTGGGTACGTCAAGGAGAGTGGGTTCGTTTGGATGAAGCAAAAGAAGGCCATAACCCACAAGTTCCACAAGATTGGGAAGCAAGTCACCTATGCCAAAGAGGTCACTGCCAATGTGGAGAAGAATAGGGTCAAGAATTTGACTGGTGTTAAGGCCAAGGAGGTTTTGATTTGGCTTACTTTGTCCGAGATCTATGTCGACGACCCGCCCACCGGGAATATTACCTTCCAGATCCCGGCTGGGCTGTCCCGGGCTTACCCGGTCGACGCGTTCGAAATTGAGGAGGAGGCAGGGACGGAGACGAAGAAGAAGAAGGACGTGAAAGAGGAGGAGGAGGTGAAGGAGGTGAAGAAGGAGGTGAGCAATGGAGGGAGTGTGGTGGTGAATGTGAAGGAGGTTTGAGATTGTTTGTTGTAGGGTTCATCACGTGCTACAATTGAGATTAATCTTTGTTGAGCCCTTTCATTCTCATTGGGTGATAATAATTAATATCATATTATAAGTTTTTATTTTCCCGATCCTAATCCTTTTCTCGAACTTCCCTATACTTTTAAACCGTAAGTGGTCGAAATGTGCAATGACCTATAACCATATCAAATTGGGCTTAGTCATAACTAATTGAAATAGATAGGTCCCGTTGAATTAAGCAAAATCAACCCAATTGGGCTTAGTCATAACTAATTGAGATAGATCGACCAAGTTGAATTAAGCAAAATCAACCCAACCAAACACAAATAGGTCGAGTTGAACTAATCGAGACCTAATCCTTTTGCATGTATCTTCTTCCTCAATTTCTTTTCGACGAGATTAATTAATATTGTGAAGAAATTTCAAGACGTCAATACATGTGAAGAAAAACCAACAATATATCGAAAAAATCAGCCAAAAAAATATGAGCTCGAGTTTTCTCCGCACTTTAGCTCGATTACAGTGGACATATTATTGGTGTTCTCGGTACATATGGATAATATTTTTCTTAATGGTTTCAAAAATATAATAAATAATTTAAAATAATAATGTAATTAATGGGTTAATATAGATTTATATTAAAAAGAAAATGGGCCTTGAAATCATTGGGCTAATTTATGCTAGGTTCTATACATTTGGGTCATGGGGTCATGGGTTCAAGTCCTTCCCATGCACATATTTTGACAATTAATATTGTCTATTTCATTCCTAAAGTTTCAAAGAAATATTTTTTAGAAATATTCGTTAATGTGGTTTTTTTTTAAGGTTTGAGCGGGTAAGGGTAATTTACGCTTTTGACCTTGAGTTTAGAAACCCAACTGTTAATAAATCGTGTTATAATATACGGTCTATTAAACTTATAATACATGACTACCACATCCCACGATTCTTAATGTTAAGTTTTGAACAATCAAGCTCGCTTCCAGTTACTTCACTCAACAAGTTTTACAACCATAATAATTGGCACAAAGCGACAGTTGTTGTCATGAGCTCCACTTCACAGAAAGATAGTGCTACAGCTTAGTTTAGCTCGCTGTTTCTAAGATTGCCAACTGATCAAATCGAAAGTAAAAAGAAAAAGTTCAAGAACAACTCGTATCTAATGAAGATGTATGATGCATGTAACCCGATCCGTACATGGTACAGTGTAATGGTTAAATGGGAAAGAGAATGGGTTGTTGGAAAGTATTATTGCAATGAAAGGGAAAGGCCACAATTATTGGGTTGGCTCTCGTGTGGTGTGGCTCTGCCCATATTGGGTCATGTGGGAAAGTAGCAAGGGACTGAGACATCAGAATTAAAGGCCAAATCATATCAAATTGTAGGGTACCCTCCTTATACCATACAATGACGTGGTTCGATCAATCTAAACAAAAATATATTTGTCGGTCAATTCCTACTTCTTGGGTCGAGAGTACATACCGAAATCAATCGAGCTGCTCTTTCCATTTGAGAGAGTTGTTCTAACTCTAGTACACGCTTGAATCCAATGTCATTTCATTATCTACACATTCAGTGAACAGGGTACGTGTCCTATTTAAAAAGAACGTCGACATCGTGCAACAATCACGTAAAAATGAATGAACGGGTATAACAATTAAAACAAATAGACGTCGAGTTGGAACAGTTTGGATCGAGATGAACAAAAAGATCGGTTATCGTGTGCGTTGAAAAGGGATGAATAGAGACAGAGAAAAGGTTAGGAGAGAAGAATTGATTGTGCAGCGTTCATGTATGGTCCTAAAAAATACAACCTTTCTTCATTATTGCTATTTAATTTCTTCTACCACTTGCTCTCTGCCTTCAATTCAATCATTTTAGTATTATAAATTCAATTCATGTACTATTTTTTTAACAAAATATATGTAATATTTTTTAAAATAATTAAAATGATTTTAGGAGAGTTTTTCATGAATTTTTTTTTTTTAATTTTAAACGTATTTTTTAAACAAAATATTAACGGAGAAATTTGGAGGGAATGACTGCGAGTCAAACCCTATGTGGGACAAAACGCACACTTCTGGTCACAGCCAGTCACTTATTTATTTATTTATTTATTATTATTATTATTTTTAATTTTTTAATTTTTAATTTTCTTTTGGTGTTATGTCGAAAGTCCTATT